TCCTGTGGGCGCTACACTCATTCTTTGAGGGTGTTATGCCTTTCTTCAAAGGTGAGGTGCAAAGGTCACATAATGCTCGCTGTTTGTCCAAGTTTACATACTAAGTCTCCTAGAAGGAGGACCAGGGACTGGAGAAGGAAACCAAAGCTAGCAGATAAACAGAGAAAGCAGGAATTCATTAAAAACTAATGGTGCAGTGCAAAGAGCCTCTTGCAAACACACCCCCGGCTCTCACTATGGTGACAAGTGGAAATTTACAGCTGAAGGCCAGGGTCAGACATTGCATGGAAAATAACTAAAAGGGAACCAAATGAGGGTGGGATTCTCAATGTGTTCCACAGTTTTGTCAACTTGACCCAAGCTAACATCATCTGAGAGGAAGGAACCTCAATTAAGAAAATACCTCCATAAGCTCCAGCCACAGGCAAGCCTGCAGGGTATTTTCTTAATTAGTAATTGATGTGGAAGGCCCAGCCCATTGTAGGTGGTGCCATCCCTGGGCTGGTCCTGGGTTCCATAAGAAACCAGGTTGAGTAAATCACGAGGAGCAAGCCCATAAGCAGCACTCCTCCATGGCCTCTGCATCAGCTCCTGCGTCCAAGTTCCTGCCCTGCTTGCATTCCTGTTCTGACTTTCTTCAGTGGTGAACAGTGATTCTGAAGTATAAGCCTCTTCAAGTTGTTTTTGGTCTTGGTGTTTCATCACAGCAATAGGAATCCTAACTCAGACACTGACCAAGCCAGCCTGGAAGAATGCTTGTGGTTTGTTGTTGTTGTTGTTGTTGTTGTTTTACTTGTTCTTTTGAACAGGGTCTCATATCAGTCCAGGCAGGTCACAAAGTTACTACTTAGTTGAAGATAACTGACCTTCTAATCCTCCTGTCTGTGCTTTGAAGTGCTGGCTACAGACCTGGTTTTATTTAACAATTTTCAATAAACACAATTATATGTGAACTTTTGGATTCTGGTATTCATAATTGCTTTGTTTTGTTGTTGTATTTTCAAATATATAAAGGTTTTATTTATTTTCATTTGTGTGAATGTGTATGTATGTACCTGCTTGGCTATATATGAACTACCTGCATGAAGGTGTCCTTTGAGGCCAAGAGAGGGCAATGGATCCCTGGAACTGGACCACAGGTATCTGTGAGCTGCAAGATGTTCGTGCTAGGACAGAATTCAGGTTCTCTGCAAGGGCCACTAGTACTCTTAACTACTGAGTCATTCGTTGTTCCTGCCCCCTAACAAGTCCTAAAGGCCTTGCTTGTAAGAACTCAATTGGTTTTTTTTTTTTTTTTTTTTGAGTGTCTTAGATCTAGTAATGCAATTTAAAAAAAAAAAAAAGCACTCTACCATGGGTCCCAGAGACCAAACTCAGGATGTCGGCCTTGGTGGCAAAAGCTTAATTGCTTTGTTTTAACATAAATTGACAATGGTGTAGCCTGCCATTTTTTATTAGTCTACTTACTTCCAATAGGTGGCACTCTACTCCATGTAAATGCTCTGAGTCGGCTACTGACTGTGTACCAGTCAGAACTATTCTTAGTGGTACTGGACAAAGTATGAATAGGCCACTTGTTTTATGTAAAATATCTCTGGTCATTTAACACAAAAATCCCAGGGAGGCCAGTTTATATTTTTGAGCTCACAAAGTAAGTCATGAAGCAAAGTGTAATTTCTACCTAGGGTTTCTACTTTGAAGTTCTGTGTGGCCTCTTTTTCTCCATAAGATTTTTCCCTTTTATAGTTACAAAGATATGACACATTTAATAAATAGAATATATTTGACTATTTGGACATCTTTTGCGCATATTAGCACCTTTTAAAATAATGGCTCATCAGTAAACGGTTAAGACAGCTTTTATTACCTCACCTCACACTTCTATTGGTACTCCAAATTACCCCTGCAAAAGCCCCATACTTCACGCTACAATACCTAGAAAAAGTATGTCAAAAAGCATCACAGAATCATACTAAGACACTCAAAATCACACAGTGGCTTTATATGGTTGACATTTCAAATAATCATTAGTCCTCCAACTGAAAAGTTCATAAAAAAGACTAGACCATGCATGGTTAGCTCTTGGGTGGTGAGACTATTAAAAGTGGCTGACACATTAAAACCTGATAACAAATAAATTCCAACTCACAAAACTTTTTTTTAAAAATTAGAGGCATTTCCTTTTAGGGCAATGCCTACCATGATCTCTACTTGGAAAGAACAACTCAGCAGTTAAGTCTGTTCTTCCAGAGGACCCAAGTTTGGTTCCCAGCTCCAGAGACATGACACTTTCTTCTGGCCTCCATAGGCAACTGCACTTAGATGCACATGCAGGAGGATATGCATGCTTACACCCTTTCACACTCTCGAACACGTGCACAAACACAGGTTAAAGGCAGAAAAAAAAATTTGTTTTTGATTTTTCAAAAGATAAATATATAAAATGCATAGCATGAAACTGTATGTTCTACTACATGAGGAACCAGGAGTATGTGTGGGATGTGGTACAGAACAACTGATTCTGGGGATATCAGGAAGTTTCTGTATATAAAGTGTCACTTGAGCCTACGTAAGCTGATTGGAGAAAAGGACAGACATAAATCCTTCAGAGGACTGGGGAAGGTGTTTATAAAGGTCCTGAGGTTTAAAAAGAAAGTATCTGCTGGAGAACAAAGAGCCATGTGGTAAAGCTTAAGATATATAAAAGAGGGTAGGGAAGGAAAAGCCTACTTAATTTCAGAGGAGAAATTAACATATTCCAATCTCCACACTTGGTAGTTTGGACTTCCTTGATTTAGTACTGATTGCTATTGTTGCACAAACTGAGAGGTCCCTTCAGCCAGTGGAATCTGTTTGTAGAGCCATAAAGGGAGAGGCTAAGTGAAGAAAATAAGCTCCCTACAGGAAAGAGCTTGGGAGTATGAGTCCACGATACAGGACTTAAAGGATGCTGCCTTTGGATCTCAGCATCATCTCTCCACCACTAAAAAAAAAAAAAAAAAAAAAAAAAAAAATAGAGCCAAGCAGTGATAGTATTTCATGTAATCCTAGCAACCAATATATGATGTGTTATTTAATCCTAACAATTTGGACACAAAACATTTTCATAGATAAGCAAATGCTGCAAATCAACAATAGCTCAACAATAGCTGGGCTGGGACACATCCAAAGGGTGATTGATGGAAAATTACTCAGGTTTTAGGAATGGAGAAACCAAAAGGCTGGAGGCAAAAGGTATGAAAAGTTCTATGGTCCTGGTAAGAACACATGCAACAAAAATGATTCAGAACCTTTAAGTCTTGTATGAAGAAAATGAAGAAGATGGGGCATCATAAAATCAGTCATAAATTAGACTAAGAAGGAAAGGGGGAACAAACTCAAGTCATGAAATAATAGAAAGCAGAAAATCTAGGTGTTTAAAGGACTGCTAAAGGAGGTCTACCATCTCAGCAATGGGCCAGTGTAAACATGATGAGATCCCACTGCAGCTCTCAAGACAGAGGACTCGAGATGTTGCTTCCCAGAGGGAAGGTGGCAAGTACAAAATCTGAGACTATGGTGCGTGGGCAAGGCTCAGAGCAAGATCATGGTTCAAAACTAAGTCTAAGAGGCCGGGACAGCAGCAGATCCCAAACAGAAAAGACCACACACACAATGCAGTGCGGTTACTGGGACATCCCAGAGGAAAAGCAAGCCTGTGATGAAACCAGCCTTACCTGTAGGACTCAGAGAAAAGCAGAAAAACTGAACTGCTGTGAATAGGGATTACTTCCTCAGCTATGTCAATTCCTATCGCTGTTTTAATGCTATGACGTCAGAGAACTTGATGGTCACTGTCTGAATCTTCTTCCCCAGAAGAGTGCAGACATAAGTAGGAGCCCACCAAGGATAGTCACGGGTATAGCAACCCCATAAACAGCGTTCAATGAAGAAACAAGAAACCCTAAAACAACTTTCACTACAAAAAACAAATGGGGGGGGGGGAATGTAACTTAATAAAACTTAAGGAGCATAATTAAGAGTTATTTCCTAAGGCTGAATTTATTTTATTTCCATCAACTTTTATAAAGTTACAGAGTAACATATGATTTGAATTAATCTGAAACTGTGGTTATCCTGAATGAGAGTTTTACAGAACGCCATAGTATTAGAATGCGATGACAAACACAATACTTACTTCTTGTGCTACACATGCATACACTCATGCTATGTTAAGGTCAAGCAGCTTTTGTTTCTAACACATGCTACTGGATAACAACATGAGGGTGAAGGTAAAAACAGGTAGGCAGTGAGATCAATTATATAGTTCATGTAACTTTCCACTTTGGGATGAAATGGAAAATTACAAGTGGTTTTGTTCCATTTCCCAGCTCTTGTCCAAGTATTCTAAACCATCAGCCTCCTAAATTATATATCCGTTCCTTGCTAGTTCAAGTTTGATTTCCTATTTCTACTTGATACACCCATGTTTACAGAATTAAATCAGTGAATTGAAAAAGAAGATCCTTGATGTTACATACAGATGAATTTGTTAGGGTAAATAAGAAAACGCTACTTTAAGTGAAGTAACTCTCACATTGCAGCAGCAGCCTAAAGGGGAAGATGGGGGAGGGGCTGTTTGTGCTGCAGGACCTGGCTCCTAAGCCTTGACATGCAGACAGAACAGGAGGACAGGCTGACTTAGAACACCTATCAATGAAGAATGAGATGCACACCCATCAGTAAAGAACGAGATGTGTAAAAATCCCAAGCCTTAATCACTGGATTGAGTTGGTAGAGTACATAGCCTTGATGTTAAAGTGCTGCAAGGGATTTACTACTTCAGCACTTGCTTACTACACATACATGCATGCATTCATAATATATACATACATACATACATACATATTTAAAACAGATGTTTTTTGTCAGAGGGAAAAAAAATGAAGACATATTGTCACAGAGGTTTCAGTGGTGGCAGAAGAAAGTGAGACCCTGGTGTTTTACCCAGTGCAGCATACCTGCCAGGAACAGTGGCAGACTTGAGAATGTCTCCAGGCAGGACCACTGAAAGGTCAATGTCTTTATCTATCATAGTTTCATTTTGCTCCATGATGACAGCCGCCGATTCTACGGGCTCCTCAGCAGAAGGGACACTTGTGCCCTTCGTCTCGGCAGGAGGAAGTGGTGCCTTCGCTTTTGGTTTCCTCCTGAAATAAGAAAACCCAGAAAATAAAACACCTTAACAGAAGCTTTCTATTATTACTTAATTTTATTAAAATCCCAAACCTACGTTTAGATTATTTTCACATCCAGGAAAATTTTAATTTGTTAATTAAAAAACATAAACTATAAATAGCCAATAAACACATGAAAAATGTTCATCAGGTAAACAATCTAAAAGGACATTGAAATCCCATCTCATCCTACTCAGAGGAGTGGGCATTAAGAAATAAAATAACAATAAATGATGCTGAGATACTCAGGAGAAGAAGCCTGTACAAACAGGACTGTAAACTAGTCAAACTACTTTGGAAACTTGTATGCAGGCTCTGTGGGGGAACAAAAACACAGCAGATGGATTGTACAATCCAGCGTGCCACTCCCAGGCATCCACTCAAAGGACTTCAGAAATCAACATATCATAGAGCTTCTTCTTCAAGGATAGTTACCACACCACTGTTCACTATAGCCACAAAGTAGAATCATCTTAGGGATCCATCAACGGGAACACATAAAGAAAACAGGCACACCCACACACCCACCCACACCCACCCACACCCACACCAGCATTTTATTCAGCTATACATTGGAATTATGTCACTTGCAATAAAACTGAAGGTTTTAATATTAAGTGAATTCTGACCCAGAGAGACAAATCATGCATGTGCTTCTACTCATTTGTGGACCCTAGCTTTTACCCAGATATACAAAATCATTTCTGTGTATGTATATGACCTAAAAGTAGAAAAACTGTCCATGTGAATGAAGATGGCTACTAGGAGAGGAAGGAAGACAGGAGAGGAAGGGATGTGGGGGCAAAGTAGCATTATGTGTGAGTATGAAAGTGTCTTTATGAAACCCACAGCTATCTACATATAATGAACATACAGTTAAAAAAGACAATAAGATCTATATTGGCCTTCATCTGGCTCAGTGAATGTTCATCTCTATCAAATTAAGAATATCATTTCTTTTGATGTGGTTACATTAACAATGTTTCATGATGGACTACCGCGCTATATACCTCACAATGGCTTCTCTGAGTCAACCATTCTTTCCACACTAGTATGCCCTACTGCTCTATCCAGATAAACCTTATCTATTCACTATAGTCTAGTGTAGTCTACCCTGTGGTATGAAATGTGTACACAGAACTTCTTTCTTTGAAATGATACAGCGGATTGGTTCCATTGTGGAATGGTTAGCACTCTGGACTCTGAAATGATACAGCATATATATGCAACTGAATCTCTAAATCTATCAATTGGTCCCTATTTTTTCCTGATTACCAGATCATCCTTCTAAAGGAGAAAGCTGTAAGTGGCTATATTTCTACTGCTTCTTCCTAGCACTGAACAATGAACTGTGGCACTATAAGACACACATCAGGTCATGGCTATTACCCAGTGAGCATTTTCAGTCAAGTTTAACAGAGGCAGCAAAGATCCACCCTGAATGGATACATCGGGTCCAGATCACATAGAAAGGAGAAAGGGAATAAACACTGGCATTCACTACCGCCCTAGAATCCTAATATCACAACTTCCTCACCATGGCAAAATATACTGACAAATCAGAAGCCAAAACATACTCTTGGCTTTTGAAAGTAACTCAACTAACCTTGAGGTTCACAGACCTGTAAAACTACTTTGTAGAACATGGAAGGCTTGGGAGCTACAGGCTAGCAAAGCCTAAGAATGCTATGAGCAGAGCTGAATGGGCCATTCAGAACTTCTGAAGACCAAAATGCCTGCAGAAATTGAGGCAGTAAAAGGTCAGGCTCTCGAGAGGGTTCTGAGATGAACAGGACTCTATCAGGAACTGGGTTAGAGGCCATTCATATTGCGTTCTGTTGAGTCTGATTGCATTCTAAAAACTCAAGTGAGGCTGAAAGCAACAGACTGAGTTATTCAGCAGAGCAATTTTCAAGGCAGCAAAACATTCAGACTGTGGTTTAGTATTTGCTCACTCTGGTTATTGAGGTTTATATGAGACTCACAGCAGAAATTTAAAAAAGTGTGTAGTTTAGCAAGGAAAGAAGCACAAGTATGGTGAGAGATACAAATAAGGTTTAAGGAGATAAGAGCAGTAAGAGATTAGTTTCATTAAAGAGAAATTTTGTGTTCTTTACTAGGTAACAGGGGAAAATTCTGGAGGGTACAACTCTGCCTATGGAAGGCACCAACTTTTAGAAATACAAATTCATTTGAAAGGAGAGACCCAGAATTGAAAATGCCACCTACTCAACTATTAAAAGGACTCCCTGCTTATAAACAATTACTTAGGAAAAGTTATCTTCCTAGTTTTGCCTACCACAGAACACAAGGGCCAAGGTAGCTATGGAAGAGGAGTCCATACTTTATCTTGATTTGGCAACAGAACTTGAGAATATCATCAACAAAATGATAGTTTTATAGGCATAGGAAATGCTGAATTATGGGATCGTGGTGGCTTACACCATGGTTGCAGGAAGCCAATGAAGTCAAGCAAATTAGATTCTGTAGCATGAAAAATAAAAACCCAGAGACAGATACTGCAGTTCAAGCTTCAAGCTGAAGATCAGAGAAGTAAAGTATTCAGCCACTGGCTCTTACGTCTACCTCATCCTCATCTCAGATGGAAGGTACGATCCTCAGACTGTTTCCAACTTGACTGCTCCTCAGATTCATTCAGACTGCTCTGCTCTCAACGTGGCTAGAGACTGATTCTTTCATGAGACCCTTTGGTTCTTCCTTGTCTATCTCCCTAGTTCTAAGATTTAAGGTGTGTGATTCCAAATGTTGAGATCACCTTTGTGTGAGCTGTTTCTCTTTAGGACTCAATCAGTTTCATGTAGCTCAGTGTGGCCTTGAACTAATAAGAGATCCACCTGCTTGTCTCTTGAGTCCTGGGATTAAAAATGTGTGTCACCACAGCTTGGCTCAATGACTAGCTAGTATGGCTGTTGGGATTAAAGGTGTGTATGATCATTGCCTGACATCTATGGCTTGTGGCTGGCTTTGCTTTCTGTACCTTCAGGCAAGTTTTAATAAATCATAAATAATAGATCATCACAACGTTCCCTATTTTGAAATACTGCTACATAACACTGTGAAGATAATGTCTAAGCTGCAGTGAAGAACCCAGTACCACTGGATGCCCATTAAGGAAAGATGCAAACATGGAGGGGAGCCAGTCTAAGCAAGAAGCTATGGGTGCTGTAGATGACAGAACTCAAGATCGTGGTCTGGCTATGTCTCCTAGAGAGCTCAGAAATGTACCATCACAAGCCCCATATCTGGACATGAAGCTGGGCATTTGATATTTTACCTGCTTAGTTTCCTAAAGCTTTTACACAACCTTCCCTTTCTTTGCCTCTATTCCTCCTCTTTGGAATATCTATTTATACTATTCCATTGCATATTGGAAGAAATGATAATGTGGTTTTTAAAATTTTTATTTTACAAGGCCTCACAGATAAGAAATTACCTTGGGTATTGTAAGACATTTTGGACTTTTGGCCAATGCTAGAACTGTTAATACTTTGGGGATTCTTACAAATGAACTAATGCCTTTTGTGTTATGAGATGGTCATGAACCTTTGAAGACCCTGAATGTGGGGTTATGGCTTAAAAAGTGTTTGACTGTTGAGTTGACAAGGGATAGACTAATAATTGGTTAATATTCACAATTAACATGGATAGATTTAAAATTGCCTTCTTGGTATTTGGACTAAAAATAAGATCAAGTGCACAATCACCTAAGAGATAGACCTATGGGTGGGCCTCTGAAGTTCCTCTAGAAAGGTTCACCTGGGGGAGGAAGACCATCCTTCTAAGGGTGGTCCCATCCCAAGGGCTGGCAGTGTAAGCAAAAAGAAAAAAAGCAAGTAGAAATGGAGCCTGCAAGATCATCTCCCTCTACTGACTGGCCAAGGATGCCTCACTCCCCAGCCATGATGGACTATACTTTAAGTTGCTTTTGCTAGGTATTTTGTCACAACAAGAAGAGTAACACATAGTTATTTCATGAATTACAAACTGGCTCCAATGAACTTTCACAAATAATTATACTACTAAAATCAGTGTGAAGTGGACAATGAGGCTACTTGGTTATCCTGAAAATAATTCCTACAAAAACAATTTAAAGGTGTGACAGTCTTGTAAAAAATAAGATATGGGGGAAGAAAAAAACTAATGACATGGGTTTTTCTAAAAATATTTTAACTTTAAAAGTTTGAAAATGTTATCTTTAAAAAAACTAAAATAAGAAAATAAATGATGGCAGGGCCAGAGAAATGGCTCCAAGATTAAGAGCACTGGCTGTTCTGCCAAAGGACCGTGGCTGATTCACAGCATGCACATAGCAGCCAGCAACCATCTATAACGAAACTCTAGTTTCCATATGAAACACCCTTCTCTGGGCTCTATGGGCAGCATTCGTGCACGAGGCACACAAATACAGGCACAGCAAAACATTTTACACATAAAATAATTTTCTAAAAACTAATTGCGTTGGAAGAAAGAATACTAATTCATTTACTTTCAAGGAAAATGTAAACTTTAATTCCACATTTCCTAAGAAAATATAAGAACCATAGGAGGTAAATATACCACCCTCCAACTCAGTGTTTTCAAAATTTACACCTTATAAACCCAAGCATCTTTAAGCACTACACTAAGACAAAAGTAGTACTTTGTATACTAAGTTATTAAAAGAACTGGTCTTTAACTTTTAGCCATATAATCTGACTTGAATTTAGGAAAGGCTTCTTTCATAATATGCAACAAAAATAAAATTTTAAAATAGTTACTATATATAGATTTTTTTAATCTACAAAGAAAAACACTTCCCTATTCCAAATTTTAATCCGTAGAAACTGACTACTCATACATCACAAGCACTATTTCTGTAACAGACAAATTCGGTACCCAATTCAAGTATGATTAAGAGACCTAAAGATGATGAACTCAAATACAACTTTCCAAGGGCACAGCCCACAGGGCTG